GTCAAATTTGCTTTTCTGCAGGTCATTCTGTTGTTACATGTCCATCTCGTTTCACTCAGCCGTCCGATCCTGCTATGTTGACTATTCCTGGTGAATGTAATCTCGCTGTATGGTATCCTGATTCGGGAGCTTCTGCCCATATGACTGCATCCGAAGGTATTTTACTTATAAATCTGCTATTTACATCCTCCCATCTAACCGTACGATCGGTGTTGGGGGGGCCTCAAAGATAGGGTCTCATCCTTTTTTTCTTGACAACTCTGCTTACAATGGCTATAATTCTGTTAGTGTTGCTAATGGTGCCCATTTACCCATTTTTCATGTTGGTGATGTTGCATTACCTTCTTCTGGTCGTCCTCTCACTTTAAAATCTTATCACGTGCCACAATTAAAGTATAATTTAATTTGCATTCAAAGGCTTTGCGCTGATAATAACTGTACTGTCATTTTTTTAAAAAAAAATCTTTTTTTATTAAGGACGACGGTGCTTCTACGAGCCACCAGTAGTGGGCCACTATATCCTCTCAGCCTGCCATCATCTACGTCATTAGTTTTAGCTTCTCTTTTAGCTTCTGACCCTGTGTAGTACCGTAGACTAGGTCACCGCGGTGACAATATTTTGCAGTTTCTCAAACGCCAACAACTTTTATGTAGTCATTCGCCTTTTACCCATGCTTATGTTGCTTGTAGATTAGAAAAATCACAACATTTCCCCTTTATGGATGCTAGTCATAATTCTTCTCTTCCTTTGGAAATTATTCATTCTGATGTTTGGCAATCTCCCGTTTGTTCTAATTTGGGGTTCAAATATTATGTTTGTTTCATTGATGATTATTGTCACTTCACTTGGATTTATACAATGTGTCACAAAAGTGAAGTTTTTATGCACTTTAAAAAATTTAAAGCTTTGGTGAAAATCTTTTTGATCAGAAAATTAAAAAAATTCAAAGTGACGGGGTGTGGTGAATTTGTTAATAATAATATGCAGCATTTTTTCTCCGCTAATGGCGGCATTTACTTTGAAAATTCTTGTCCTGACACACCTCAACAAAACGGGGTCGCCGAGAGAAAACATTGTCATCTACTCGAATTGACTCGAACTATGCTTCTTGAAGCCTCCATTCCGAGTCAATATTGGGTTGATGCAATTTCACTGCTGCATATATTATTAACAGATTACCCCTCTCCTACATTAAAGGGCCTTTCTCCGTATAAAAAATTTATTTCATCGTGTTCCGGACTACTCATTTATGCATGTTTTTGGCTCGGCCTGTTATCCAAAATTTTCAGCCACTTCAGGTAATAAACTTTCACCTCGATCTGTTCAATGTGTTTTTCTAGGCTATGCATCTGACTACACACTGTCAACTTCCCGGAGTCAAACTCCTTCCTTCCCACCATTAGAGTCTGCCGACAGGCCTTCCTCTTTGGACTCGTCTGTCCATACCGAAACCCACCAGACCGCCACCCATTCTTCTCCTTCCACTTCGGTTGTGCCCACTACAGTAGTTAATCAGCATCTCATGCAAACCCGTGCAAAGGCAGTAATTTTTAAGCCTAAAACCATTTTTAATTTAAGTACAATTGTTATTCCTGCGGATCCCACTTGCTTTACTGAGGCTAATAAACATTTAAAATGGAGGGAAGCGATGACTGATGAATTTAATGCACTCATAACTAATAATACTTGGGATTTCATGGCCTTTGATAGTACTAAGAATATTGTCGGTTGTAAGTGGATTTATAAAATGAAAATATCATTCTGATGGGTCAGTAAAACGCCATAAAGCCAGATTAGTTGTTCAAGGGTTTAATCAACAAGATGGTATTGATTTTTTTGAAACTTTTAGTCTTGTCATTAAACTCATCATTGCTCGCATTGTACTCACCCTAGATGTTTCTTTTGGTTGGGTTATTTGTCAGCTTGATGTTAAAAATGCCTTTTTACATGGTCATCTGACAGAAGAAGTCTATATGCGTCAGCCCCGTGGTTTTATTCATCCTCAACTTCCTACTCATATGTGTTGTCTGCGTAAGGCCATTTATGGACTTAAGCAGGCACCATGGGCTTGGTTTCATAGGTTTACTAGTTTTCTTCTGCAGCATAATTTTTCCTGTAGTAAGTCTGATAACTCATTGTTTATTTATCGCCAGAATAATTCTATTATTTATTTATTATTATATGTAGATGATGTTATTACTACTAGCAATTCTGAGTCTACCATTACCCAGATTATTTCTATTATCTCTAATCATTTTGCCATGAATTGAAGGATCTATGTAATCTACATTATTTCTTGGGCATTGAAGCAACTCGTTCTTCTAAAGGTCTGTTTCTTTCTCAAAACAAGTATGTTTCTAATCTTCTGGCCTTTTCATCTTCACGCGGTTAAGTCCATTCGCACTCCGTTAGCATCTCGTAATACTCTATCTCTGTCTGATGGTGAGTTACTTGTGGATTCTACTGAGTATCACAACAAGATAGGTGTGTTACAATATTTAACTTTGACACGGTCAGATATTACTTATGCAGTACACTTAGCATCTCAGTTCATGCATGCCCCTCGTACTACTCATCTACTTGCAGTAAAAAAAAAAATTCAGGTACTTGTAGGGGACACATGATCATGGGTTGTGGCTTCAGCATTCTGACCGCCCTACGTGTGTTTTACCCTATTTAGATGCCGATTGGGCTGGATGCCTTGATAGCTCTCGGTCCACCACAGATTTTGCCGTTTTTGGGTCCCAATTTAATTTCCTGGAAATCCAAAAAGCAGCGTACATCCGTACAATGTCCAAGTCCTCCACAGAAGCTGAGTATCATGCTATTGCCTAAACAGTTCAAGATACACTACACATTCGATCTGTTCTGTTTGAGCTCAGCTACCCCATCACAAAACATGTGCATTTATTATGTGATAATATGTGTGCTTCTTATTTGACTGCAAATCCTGTCCAGCATGCTAGGAGACATCCAGATTGACTACCATTTTGTTCGCAAACGTGTTGCTCATGTGGATCTGATTGTTCGACATGTTCCTACTCATCTAGAGTTGACAGATATTTTTACTAAAAGCCTCCCTAGTCAGCGTTTTCAGTTTTTAAAGGACAACCATCGCGTTGTTTCTCCCGCACAGATTGAGGGGTGTAATAGAATTAATAATAGGGTTATTTATGTACTTTACATTAAACTCTTTACTATAAATATATCTGTCAGGGCTCCTTAGAGAGCATACTATTCCATTATGCTCACAGATGATCCTAAAAAATCTTCCCATTATTATTACTAAATTATCGATCACCATTAGATGGGTATTCTAATTAATACTCTTTTTGTCCCATAAAATTTCTCTCACTAATCATTTTGGGTTGTCCCAAAATTTTTTTCTAATTTCTCATTTTGAAAAGTTTTGTATGGTTAACATTCATTTACATTTTTCTTACTTAACCACAACACACTTGCACTTTATTCTCACTTTCTTAATAAGCTTGTAAATTCAAAGTGGAAAGTATTTTTTGGGACGAAGGGGTAATAATATAGACCACACGTAAGAACTGACTACCATGTCATGTGACATTTTAGTTTATACTCAAATGGTAACTCATAATACAAACTTCCTCATTGATAATTTAATGAGCATATAACATGCTTATCGATGAACACATAGAGTATATGGTGTACCCTGATGCCGTATTGGCGTATCTGATACGTATCTGATAAAGATACTCGCCGATACATGTCATGACATGTACATATAGATCCACATATGTAATTTAATAAAAGTATTGAACTTGTTTTTAAAAATACAGATACTTCTGATACCGTATCTGTGAATCGATGTGCGTATCTAACCCTATAACCCTGATTTCATACACGACATGACCAAAATTGAGTGGCCGCCCAAACGAGCACAAGAAGTGAAACATTAGTAAAGACGATTTTGGGAGTGTGAAAAATATTGGAATAGTATAATTTGTCAGTTTGTCGCTAGCTTGACGAGCTTTAAATGAAATAGATATAAATGCAAATAGAGAACTAAAAATATTATTTAAATTTAAATCGAAATATCACTACTTTAGTTTTATAGTCTGACCTTTGAAATTTTATTATAATTGTTAGTTTTTTTGTACTTTTTTTAGTTTATATATGAACCTCTGAATTATACTATTATATATTTGCAAATTATCCTATATTATTATGTATAAATAAACGCCGTACACGTAACCTATAATTTTTTAAATTGTCGTACCCGTATTCGCATACATATAATGCATATTAAGCATATACTGATATATGTAATGCGTCAAATAAATGCATTAGATTAATAGAAATAAATTATCTGGAATAGTTAATACGTAGTATGTAGAATCAATTGTCTATTCCATATGAACATACATGGTAAAATAATTTTTAAGAGGTACATTACTCGTGTCTAGGCGGTAAGCACATCACTTTTTCTACATTTTGCATCTTTACGCAAAGAGCTTAACTTTTATTTTTTTTCTTGTTAGAGTTTTGCTTCGTATACACGCAAAGCCAAGTGTAATTGTCCATGCATAGACAATTTGACATCGGTTATAATAAAGAAAAGTGTTTGTAGCTCCAGAAATAGATTGTCTATACACAAATAATTCAGAATCACATAGTTCTCTTTGCTAAACAATGACGTATCATCATTAATTCATTCTTAATTTTAGCCAAACATGTAGCAGGGCAAATAAAAAGAAAGGAGGATTACTTGTCATATGTTTACTAAGTTAAAACTTAGAAGTACAAAGCCAGTTTGCTGCTCAAAGAAAATCGAAACATGTAAATTCATCACTAGAAATTTAAATTTCTTCTTCTTCTTCAATTCTCATCATGCAATAATTATGACACAAATCCGTTTATATTTCTGTTAAAAAGCTACCTACCTTTAAACCTACCCATTCCCTTCCTTTCATGCTTTAATTGCGCATCTAAAGCAAAATTAGCCGTTAGATGGCACAAAACACATGAACAGCCTCCGGCCCATTCTTTCATATAACCATAGAATCGTAACTCCCAATTCTTCCATTTCCACGTCTCTCTAGCTAGCTATGATTCTATGATTATAAGTATCCCATTGAACATGAAAAAACAGAGCAAAAATGTCCAAATCAGAAGAAAAAATGAGTGAAAATCACACCCTTTCCAAGGGAGACGTGCCCTTTTCATGGGAGCAAAAACCCGGGGTCAGAAAGGCGGCAGTGCCAGTCTTTCATGTCCACCACCCCAAGCTTCCACCTCCGCCGCGCGCGGCGGCGCATGACGGCTGCAGGAGGTCTCCCCTGAAATACCACCGAGGCCTGCAAATCCCTCCACCGCCGTGCACGGCTCCGCCGGTCCCGAGAAACTCGTCGCGAAAAGGGGTGATCAGTAAACGTGATGATCCGTTCCTGATTGCGTACATGGAGTGTACAAAGAACGCTGGGCCAAAAGGTGATAGCTTTATGTGGTTTGGCAAAGATGATGGAGTGAGGAGGAAGAGGAAGAAGAAGAAGAAGAAAAATGTTGGGTTCTTTTCGTGTAAAGATTCATGTGGCGTGCTTGAGGATAAGATTGTTCGAGCTTCACAACTTCCGGTTTCGAGATCTCAAAGAGCTGACGAGTGAAGAAGACGGTTTCTCTGAAATCGAGTGTTTTTTTTTTATTTGCAATTTGTAAAAATTTATTGAGTTTAGTTTTGGATGAACCACAATAATAAACACCTCTTATCACATTGGTGGGGATGTACGTGTTAAATGTGTTATCATAGGATGATATATTTGTTGTGTTTATGTTTGGAATTAATTTTGTTTGTACTTCTTTTTAAATAACTACTTCTACGAGTAATTTAGTGGAACAAGAAATATTTATACACTTTTATCCAAACATTTAATCTATGTTAGTACATTTAGAAGAAGCAAAAACAGTTTTAATTTAAATCTATGTTTATTTGTACATTCAAAAGAAGCAAAAACACTTTAAAAAAATAATCCAAACACCCCTTCATATGTCATCTCCTAATCTCTACTTCTTCAGTTTTCGATTTGAATCAAGTACCAACTCACCTGTGATATGTACTGCCTGAATATTTTATTGAAATCCTTAACGTAATTCAATAAATTTTAAAAGTACAAAACAAACGAAGTGTCATTTTAATACGTAGTACATAATACCACGTACATAGTACTAATACATCATACATGTCCTATTGTGGATATAGAAGTATATACTACAGTAGTTTTTTAACTCTACATTCGAAAGATTTCTGTAAATAACGTTAGTATTTTATCCGTGCCATGCACGAGTAAAAAATACTTTGACATTTTTCTTTTTAAATATACTTATTGAGATTTTAAATTAGGTGACAACTCTGATACCCATTTAAAAATGGGGTACCGTACCTACCATGCATTTGATTGGTCCAAATCATTAAATCTCTTTTAATTTAGATTTAAATAATTTAACTGCATGATTCTGACTGGTCCATATGGACAAAAGTACGGTACCTTATGGGTATCATAGAATCTACCTTTAAATCAATATGTACTCCCTTCGTCCCTTATAACTTTGTCAACTTTCCTTTTTTTGGATGTCCTATTAACTTTGCCACTTTCTCATTTAAGTAAAGAATTTGTGATTCCTGTTAATTCTCTCTCCTCTGTACAAACCTCAACTACACAATTTTTACTTTATTAATTCTCGTGCCGATCAAACTTGGCAAAGTTATTAGGGACGGGTGGAGTAGTATATATTATCCTAATCACATTGAAATTTGAAATACATTTGGATCGATTTTATAAAAAGTAGCATATAAAGGCCGTTGTATAAAAAGGAAAAAGTAATTCAAATACCTCAAACTTTAAATGAGTGTGAGGTAAATACCTCAAACTTGCATGTGTAATTTTAACACTCCAAACTTTACATCAAGAGTTATTTTAGCATCATGGTCATATATCAATTTAAAATTTATGAACATATAATTTATGGTGAAACTTATGTGCTCATGGTGCTAGCATAATTATTTATAAAAAATTCAGGATATTACAATTACATATACAAGTTTGGGATATTTACTTCACATCTCTTCAAAATTTGGGGCATTTTAATTATTGGTCCTTATAATAAGAAACTAAAAACATTAAATGAAAAAGAAACTACAATACTTTGGTTATTTGGATCTATAACCTCACTTTTATCTTTATCGTTTAAAAGGGCGCTTCACAGAATTGACACTATAAATTGGATCCGGGGTCACACCCTGACCCTCCTGGCTCCACCCCTATTTCCACTCATCCCCACAAATCTTGCAACATAGTTTTTAACAAGAACTAACAACAAAATCAAACACTCAATTAAAATAAGACAAGAAACGAGATAACACACAACAAAATCACACAGTTGTGTTGCAACAACCTCTTAACACAAACTCCTCCATGCCAGCTTCCATTTCTTCAAACTTTTAAAAATCACATGGTATAACTGCTCTGAGATCACCGAACGAGATCAAACTCGATGGACCGCGCATGCTTTTAAAACTTTTATAATATTTGGTCACAATTATACCAACATCTATCCTTGTTTGGGATGAACCCGAACTTGTGACTTTCTTTCCGAGAGATTGAGACCGCATCGTAAATTATTAGAACCAAGTTTTTCTTACAAAAATCACCTCACATTACGGTTTTTTTGGAGAAAAAAAAAGGATGACACCCCATCCCTGAGGGCCGACCGGACGGCACGATGGGAGGATGTAAATTGGACTATAATCACAATCTGACAGATAGAGAGTGGGGCACTTTTCCCGGTACTTGCAGAAGCCCTATGCATTTTTCAACATACTAACTCCTCATCGTAGTTGCCGGGATTCAAACCCGAGACCTAACCCTTGTGACACTCACTCGCTACCAGTTGAGTTACGCCCACCGGTCTTGCGGTTTTTTTGGGCATAACTTTATGATGAAAACGGTTAAAAAAGAGAGCAAATTTCTTTTTCACTTGAGCATCTCGTGATTTTTATCTCTGTACAAAAAGTGACCCAAACGTCCCCACCCGCCTTTGCCCTTGGCCCCGATTTATTGACTTATTCTCATCGTGTGGCCAATTATGGCTGTTCTCCTCGTTTAGGTGAGATTCATCCCCTGCACATAACATTTCACTTCTTTCTTCTCTAAATCACTTCATCGTTCTCTAAGTTTGGAATGAATGCATGTCCTTAAATCATTAGTTCCCTCTACGCTTTCTCAGTTCTTCAAACCAGAGATTGATACCCGGGTCGGGAGACGGCTGCAGTATTCACTTAACCCAAAGCTCATCCTAAACCAAAGAAGAAGATTCGGGAAATTTACCGCAGCAACAATTGTTTCAAGCATCATGGAGGGGTAAAAGTTTATTCTTTGCAGATAATATCTTGAACTTATATGATTCTTTAAATCTATTACCTTGATAGTATCCAGAACTGTGAAGATGTAATCGTTTTTCTTAATTGCCGTTCATATTAGAGAGCCCTGTTCTTAATTTTTGTTTGTTTGGCCCGGAGTTACTTAACTGACTACCCTTCTTGATCTTAACTTTTGGGAAATGAAAAGAAGTGTTTCATGCTATCAATTAGAACAGACTTCATTTTGTATACTGATATTAATATAATAATAAAGTTGAGGCTAAGAAATGATTTGTAACGATCAGCCCTCATATCCTTACTTGTAAGACATCAGACCTGAAATCTGGATTTATGAATGATGAGTTCATAGAAAGGAAGATTATGCTTTAAAGCCAGGCTTTCCAGCTGAATTCTGAGATTTTTAACTTGTCATATGTTATATGTGCACATATATACATAGTTGTCATGGCGCATGGTGATCGCCATGGGTCAAAGGCATTTTTCATGGCAAATGGCGATGGCGGATATACGAATGGCGCATATGGTGCATATGGCGCTATGGCGACAGCCACTTTTTCATGGCGATGGCGCATATGGCGCGCGCCATATCTCGCCATTGACTACTATGCATATATAACTTATAAGTCAAAACTCAGAATAGTTCAAGTTTAGGTTTGGAAATGATCACTTCATCTTAATCCAAATTGTTTGTAGTCTTCTCCGTTTTTTTATAAATTGCTTCAAAAGTCAAAACCATAAACATTCTTGTATGCATAACTCGTATACGTTCAGAAATATTAATGCATTTTTATTGGGAACTTCATGGACATACTGTTCAGGGTTGTTCCAGAAAGCACTGAACAAGTCAGGTATGTGAGTCCCAATTGTACAGAAATTATCGTGATCCGTCATGGTGAAACCGAATGGAATGCTGAAGGAAGAATTCAGGCAAGCTCACTCTTCTAATTTTGAAATACTTTTTTTTTTGTAAAAAGAATTCTGAATCAAACTATTAACTGTAGTGTTATATCTTTGGGTTATAATTCTATATACCAAATATCAATCAGATTAGATGTTGTGCACTGCCTCATTCTGCAGAAATTTCTTTCTTACACGATTAGGTATTTCTTAGTGATGCGAGTCCTTAACTCAACTCAATCCTTATCTTAAATTCATTTAATCTGCTACATGGATTTGCTTTGTTCATTCAGTTTTATTAATTTCCAAATCTGTTGTGAGCCTTTAGCTGGCATGTTTCGAAACATATGTTTGGATCCCAGAAAATAATAGGGAAAGTTAAAAAATACTAAGGAATGTTTTTATGGTTTTGCGTTGGAAAATACATATGATATTCATTACCTTTTTTTAGGTATCTAGATTTCTTAGTCTTTATCATCAGTTTGAGGTAATATCTAAAACAGATATAGTGCGTATGAATCCATCTTTTCTTCCACTCAAATGACCCCCCTAGATATTTTCCTTTGCATTTTGCGCTTCCCAAACAAACTGTAAATAAACTGAAATCCCCATGTAGATCCATCTTGGCCTCGCCTAGCCACTAGGCATCACCAGACTTCTCCATTTTTTTCTTACTTTCGCCCCGCCTCGCAAACTGAGGTCCCAGCTTACTGACTAATGATTTTTGGAGTAGGTTATAAATAAATTGTATCTGTGCAGACTTACAAATAACTTTTTATTTGTAAATAAATCAACCAATGTACATACTTTTGCTTTACAGGGGCACTTGGATGTTGAACTAAATGATATGGGGAGACAGCAAGCACATGCTGTATGTTATGACTTATGAGTATCTCTAAGTGTAGTTATATGCCCAAAGTTTGCCATTTCTCTTCATTTCTAATGCCCGAGACCATTTTCTCAGGTTGCTAATAGACTTTCCAAGGAGCCTAAGATATCAGCGGTATACTCATCAGACTTAAAGAGAGCTTTCGAGACTGCAGAGACAATTGCACAACTCTGTGGAGGTCTTGTGGTATGAAGTCTATTTACTTCCAACGAATAAAATTCCACTATCCGGTTATTGATTATTTATTTATTTTTACATTGTGTTTGTTCCTTTACTGTTATCATGTTAACCTTTCTTTGTGTATATTGGCCTGTCAGGTTGTAAAAGATCCAAGCCTTAGAGAAAGGCATCTAGGCGAAATTCAAGGCCTTCTTTACTCTGACGTATCTGTAACAAATGATAAGGCATATCAAGCAATGGTATCTCGCCAAACGGATAGAATAATCCCTGTGAGCTCTCGTCTAACAGTTGCATTATCATAATATGCACTATATTTAAAAAAACTCTTTACTGGAGACTACTATAGCAGGGAAGAAATCTATATTATTAGCTTTCTCCATTTCCAGGGTGGTGGAGAAAGTCTTGATCAACTTTATGAACGCTGCACGTCTTCTTTGGAGAGGATCGCAGAGAACCATAGAGGTACTATGGGAACAAAATCTTAAAAATGGAAGCTTGATACGATATAAGCGACTATAATTTGTTCTCCAATGTAGGTGAGCGAGTGGTCGTGGTGAGTCATGGCGGTACTATTAGGGCACTTCATAGACGGGCTTCATCCAATGGTCGCTGTGGGAAGATATCAAATGCTTCTGTCAACATAATTCACTTGTCTGAGGATGGCCAATGGACCATTAAAGTTTGGGGTGATGTCAGTCATCTAGGTGATGCCGGGTTTTTGAAGTCCGGGTTTGGTGGTGACCAAAACTCTGGTTAAGTTAAAGGGGGAAGGGACACATATTGCTTTGGATTTGGATTCAGCAGCCAACACTCAATTATATCAATCTATTAAGTGTTTGGAACACTAATGATTTCGTAGCAGTACACTAATCACATGAACCAAAGTACTTGGGTTCATTAGTGGTGACACTTGTAGTAATAGCTAGGAGTGTGAGCGGGTCGGGCGGGTCCCGCGGGTCCCGCGGGTCCCACTCTAAATTTTAAGAAACTTTCTTTAAATGGGTAGGGGCAGGGTGAGTATATTTATTTCAATCAGACTTCATATACTCATATTTTAAAATTTTAAAATATCACACCTTGCTTGAAATGAGTCACTTTGATTAGAATTTTAAATTTTTGATCCATATTGATAATTATTTGAAAAAGGAAAACTGTTAAATAGTCATCGTAATTTAAGTCTTCGTACTCAATACATACCAAATTAAGCATTCCAATTTTAAAAGTGTTCAAAGAAGCTTTTTCATAGGGTAAAGGGATTCGATGTTTATTGAGACATTGAGTACGGGAACTTAATTGAATTTTTAATATTGTAGAGGATTTATTTGATAGATTCCCTTTTGAAAAATTAAATTGTACTAGTAGTAGTTGACTAGTAGCACTCATTAGTGAACACAACATGCTAGCCTTTGTTTTCATTTAAGGCTTTGTCCAATATTTTCAAAAGCTTACAATTCTTCATTAATCTTGACCCACAACAGTGTCACAATCACGTTGATAACATCTATCAAAAATCAAAAAATTGATCAAAAGATTTTTAATGTATATAAAAACAAAGTCCTATTTATTTAATTAGTTTTTTTTTTCTTTTACATCTAGGTACTAATATAATGTAACTCCATGAGAAAGTGGATTTTTTCTAGATACATGTAAAATCAATATTGCATATGGAGTGTATCATGTTAACTACAACACCCCAAATTCGAGACTTTGAGTCAAGTTATTAGCACCGTCTCAATCATGGGGAGAGTCCTATTATCAATGTTTGTATTAGCACAACATATCCATTTGGTAGTGTAGCATGGACTATATACACTAATGTACTTTTCTCAAAAGCCTTTCATTTAGAAAATGAACTAAACATGATACTACGATAGTATGATTTCATGATGGCACTAACTGTCTCATGGTCTCATGTAGAGGAAAAACATATATAATATTCACATTTTGGGGGAATTTCACATGACAAAGAACGGAGGATGTATGGCTACAAAATGAAGACTAGATCACAACTCGCCATTCATCAAATAGGAGTCATGAAAGCTTTTAGTGAAAATATCTTAATATTGATGACAAGAAGTAATATCTCTATATGAGGGTGACCATATATTAGACAGAATGAATGTCCAGTTTGATGTTCTTAATGTGGTCCTCGATGTATTTACATGATAGATTTACATGCAACAATTAGAATGTTGTCTAGAAGAGAATCAAAGGATGCTGTTAGAATGAATTTTGTTGTTGAAGCCAATTACACTTTTTACCCTTTTTACTCCCATCGGTTTTGAAGTCGCGGATAGACGTGTAATGTCAACTGGACCTAAATTAGATAACCAAGATGATCACAATTCAAATAATAATTTCACAATTACAAAACTGGATTCCCTTCATCGTATCATAGTTTTAATGTTATATTAGCCTTTTGAAAAAAACTTCAAGTTTACTTAAAACCACCTAGTAGTAGAATAATATTGTGTTGTTTTTGCCATGCTTAAATCGAAAGCTTTACACTGTTTAAGATGGTCGGAAAATTCAATTCAATAAATAATTGGTCGCCGACTCACTCTCTCTTATGGGGGTCCGGAGTTCAATTAATGGAGTGAGATTGATCCCAGTTTACCCAGACTCCCCAAACCCCCCTCCACTGACGCCCCCTGGGGTAAAAAAAAATATTGAAAGATCAAATATAAATTCCTCATAATTTACAAACTACAAACTTATCTTAGTCATCCGTTGAATTGATCTAAAGGCTGGAAACACAAGGTATCATTTTGCTAATAAAACCAAGCATTTTTTGAATCCTACACTGTGAACGTTATTATGCAACTGTGTATTTTACCGCAAAATAATATGCAACACTTTGAACATCAATATGCAATACAAGTAGCGGAAAGATGCATCGCATAAAGTTTTGCACCCACAGTTTGTACAGGATCGGCCCCTATTGATGTCTTTGTTTACACACATGTAGAGTTGCGATTTAAATTAATTCTAACTGTATACTTCACATGTCCTAATTTTAATTTATACGAAGTACATAATACCAAGTATATGAATTTTCACACTTTTCAATAAATTAGAAATTATGTGTTTGATAATTATTTCTATGAAAATGAAACTACATCACCGATGGATTTGTCCTTAAAAGTGTGAAAATTACTTTTGGGCTGATAAGGATTACATCATATTTTTTAGTCGAATCAATAATGTGTAATTTCTAGTGACCTAATATAGTCAGGAGACTCAGGATGATAAATCGAACTGAGCCGGCAAAAAGAAAATTTCAAATAAATTTGTATGCAACTCTTTTTATATGTGAATTTTAAATTTGTATGAATTTTGAGGTCGGCCGAGATCTAATATTTCCGCCTTTGTAAAGTTTGTTTCATTGCACACCTCCAATTTCCTACAAAGTCAATTTTCATAAAGAATGTATAATAATGAGTTACAGTTTGTTAAGAGTGTCTCTATTGACACATTGAGAAATTCGTGTAAATATTGGACATTCTATTTCATATGACAAACAAAAGTTAATGCTTGGGAACCGAATTTTAACATATGTGCACATGACTAACCCAATAGAATGATGTGTTGGGCTTTTATTTGTCCAACTAGACGAAGTACTCGTGCGATGCACGAGGCATATTTAGAATTGAATAACTAGTAATTTATATAAAAGTATGTTTTATGATGGTACATCTGTGATTTTGCAAACAATAGAATTTATATGCTTTAACTTTTATTATGTACGTTGTAGTAGCCGTAACAAAATAAAATCTTGGATTGTATGATAACTTGAAAAGTAAAATAGAAACAAATGATAATATATAAAATAAGCTCTACGTGACAATTAAATAACTTTTAGTATTAATTAGTTTCAACACTAAGCTTATCACACAGCCAGTTTTAATCAAATAACTGCCGCATTTTACTTTTAATATCTTCTCAGTCACTAAAAGCCGACAGTCCCAAAAAAAATCTATAAAAGTATCTTTACAGCTATTTGTGTCAAGCCTACCCAAAAATTTATTCCATACACTTTAGACTATGTATTGACTACTCCATATATTCTTTATTCCTTCGATTAGATTTGCATGATAAGGGTGAAATGATAAATTAATAATTAATTTAGTTCTTATTCTAAATGTATTGAAATTCTCTTTCAACGTGTGTGGTATCCATATATGATATGAGTCGGAATACTCTTTCAATAAATTAATGGAGAATCTATAAAATAAGTCCAGACACCAAGCATTCCAGCCCAGCTGGTGAGAGGTCTCGAGTTCGAAACCCGCTAGGCACATAAGAGTTTGAAACTCAATGGAGTGAGTTTCAGCCCTAATTATTCTAGGCTCCCCCCAGTCCCCCTCCCCCAGACTCCCTGGAGTAAAAACAAAGTCCAGAATATCTTTTAATATGAGACACATTCATTACTATTTCATGAGCGAGATGCATATTATATTCTAGCATTTCACATTAAATCATTTCTGCTCCTTTCCACTTCCAACATAAACATTCTTTATTGAGTATTATTTAATCAATCAATAGTTTAATACATGCATAACATGGCAATAAATGCTCCATTCTAAATTACTCTCCATCTACAATCTTGGACGTGATGCATATTCTAGTGTTTTACATTTGTTTCACACTAATTCCCTATTATGACATTATTTTAGGTGTATTTGCCCTTCCAATAGCTGCCCCAACTTCGTTACCTTATATTTCCTTGATTCTTTTCTAATAAGCGTGCATAATGTTGAATATTACACTACTATATGTTCTAATTTGACTGCATTTTATATATTAACATTTTCATAAATTATTTTGTAAAAGATAATGTTAAATTTGTTCTCATTGTAAATTTTCAAAATCTGATTTTTTTTATTTTTTATTTTACTAAAAGAGAATACTATTTTCTACGTCCCGCTAAGATTGTCTTATTTTATCTATTCGGGAAATCCCACTAAGATCGTCTCATACCAAATTTGGTAAAATTTGTGTGGTTCTAAATTATTTTTTACTTTATTCTTACATGATCAATTCAATGTCAACCACAACCAAATAAATTAAACTTACTTTTCTTAATAATTATGACACCACTTCTTGTGTCAATGTTAGTAGGACGGAAGTAGTATATTACTCCGTCATAGTCAAAGTTCTACATCAACAAACATGAAAAGTAGATTGTTGCACTTATTTAAGAATGGAAGAAGAATTATATAAATATAAAAACAATAACAAAGATAAAGATGACATTTAATTATACACAAATCTTTACATTATACGTAGTATTCTGTATATAGCTATTAGTAATTATTTTGGTGCATTTGACACTAGCTTTCAAGCCCGTGCGATGCACGGACAGTATGTAATTTAGCTAATTTTAAATGCGTTTTTTTAAAAATTGGTTGTGGAATCAATTAATATTAATCAATAAATGAAGTTTTTCATTGACACTATAATCTAAGAACAATACTAAATTGATTATTTGACTTGATTCTTTATTCAACATACACAATAAACAACTTCATATACAAATATAATTTTATCCCGGTATACATCTTAACCTATAGAGATGTCTTAATTCCGACAGTACTTAATAGAAAAGGAGTAAACAACCCTTCAAGTTAATATAGAGCCCGTTTGATATCAATAAAATTGATCGAATTGTCTGATTATGCTGCAATCGATTAAGTTTTGTCTGAATGGTATGCATAATAATTTTTTTATATTAATTTTTATAGTGAGAAATTCGAATGATACTCATTATTTAGTCACATTAAAAATGTTTCAACATGTAGTTTTTAAAATTTCAAAACACTTTTTTCAATTGGACATTTATACGTTCTCTAAACTAATCCTTTAAAAAAAAAAGTTGTCTAAAGTTCTAAACCAATATATGGAGTAAAAAAAGAAGCTTGAATAGTATTTAATATGGGATAGGCCATACGTAATAATATATTGGATTCCATTAATTAACTTTGATGTTTTTTTAAAGGATGCACGTTTGATGTTTCTAAATCCAAGTTGAGGTTCCCATAATTTTTAGGTTGTCAAATTTACCAAATAAGATGGATTTTTATTTGCCAAATTTACCAAATAAGGTAGATTTTTGTATCAACAATTCAATGGCCACACTTACAAGTGAGCTTATTTGGTTGAAAAGCCTACTTACTTCTTTTGGGATCTCACATAAGTCTCCAATACCACTATTGTGTGATAATAAGGCAGCACTTCATATCGCCTCTAATCCGGTGTTCCATGAAAGGACTAAGCACATTGAAATAGATTGTCATTTCATTCGAGATCATGTGCAAGCAGGCACCATTGTTCCCTCTTACAAATCCTCCGGCGAGCAACTGGCTGATCTTTTTACAAAGGCACTTGGGTCCCAACAATTCTCTTATCTTCTTCACAAGATGGACATTCTTGATCCTCATGCTCCATCTTGAGGGGGGGTGTTGGTGTGTATTTTTGGATAGGATAATTTTACTCCACAACCACCTACGTACATGGGCCCTAATATGGAAAGAAGGATGCAACTTTTATTTTGTACTTTAATTAGCTTTTACTTTTATTCATTTTGTAAAATATTCTGTCCATAGTCTAGCGGTAGAATAGCTATTTCCTTGGCAACTCTTATACGCATAACATGTATATATAGGGCTGTGTATTTCTAGACTTGGCACCATCAATAAGAATAATTCTCCTAGAATATTATATTACCTATTGATGATGGCCTTTTGACACGTTCAACCATCTTCTGACCCCATACCTGATTGAACAAACAAATGTAACAAAGGATCAAACTTAGCTAATCATAAAGTTTAGAATTTCAAACATAGTCAAACTTCAATTTTGATGGTATAGGTCAAACCTGGCTCGACCCATCTAATATGATCAACATCGTTCATTCTCGGCCAAACCCGCTTGAATGTCATATATGATTTTTCTATTTATTTTAAACGTCATCATTTTGTTTGACGTTTTAAGTAACACCAATTATTGTTACTTTTTGGAAAAAGAAAAAAAGATAGTAATTGATAGGTGTTTCCTCCGTTCTTTGATAAACATTCTTACCTGTCTCTTCTGGCCGTCTCATCTCAAAGTTCAAAATTTCATTTCAGAAAATAATTATTAAATATTAAAAATAAAAGACCTTAAATATCACAAATTTCTCATCAATTCGATGACCCTTTTACATTATGACCCTTTTACATTATGGGGTGTTTGAAACTGATTCTGCTTATACTTCTTTTACAAAAAAAGAAGCAGAATTAGAATCAGTTGTCAGAAGCTGACATCTCTCAACTTTTTAAAAACTGCTTCTAGTAGTAAATTTGATCACCGGAAGTACTTATACACTTTCACCCAAACACTCAAACTCTGCATCTACTCAGTGAATGAGTAGAAACAGTTTTAAGAATCATATCCAAAACTCCCTATATACTCACCCAAATTACTTTTTAAAATATTTCCAATTACCTCTATATACTCACCCAAATTACTTTTTAAAATATTTTCAATTACCTCTATTTAATTGTAATTCTCTTACAAATTGTGCCCTTTATTAGTTTTTTAGTTTTTTGAAGGCCAATTTGATAAATTTCCTCATTCCCCGCTCCCGCAAGCACCTCGAACCCGAAGAGAAGCGCATCAATCATCAATGGGAACGTCAGTGCAGGTGAAGCCATTGTGTGGAGTGTACAATGAAAACCCTCTCTCGTATCTTGTCTCCGTTGATGGCTTTAACTTCCTTATTGATTGTGGTTGGAATGACCACTTCGATACCTCCCTTCTTCAACCCTTGTCCAGGTCTCTCAACCACATACTCTTACTGATATAGTTTAACAATTTGTTAGGTTCTTGTATCATGGAGTACATTGAAAGTTTAGAATTGACTGTACCTTTGCATATGATATGAAAGATAAGAGCTTTTTTACTTGCATAGCTAGGCAGCAACAATTTTATAGTAAGTTGGAAATCTTGAGTTCCATTGTGACCCTTCAATTTCATCCCTCCCCTAGTTAAAGATGTTAAACTCGAATTGTGTGTTTTAACGTAATGTAATCCACTGTTGAATCCAAGGTAGCTACCACTGTTTGTCTTCTCTAATTGATACCAGCCTACGGTGTTAGTGTTTTCTGCTTAATTATCTTGTACTTCTGTTCAGGGTAGCATCAACAGTGGATGCCGTGCTGCTCTCATATCCAGACACGCTCCACCTTGGTGCCCTACCATATGCCATGAAACAGTTTGGATTAGCCGCGCCTGTTTATGCCACTGAACCTGTTTATAGATTAGGATTTCTAACGATGTATGACCAATATCTATCAAGGAAGGTAAAATTAAATTTGATGATTTTAATAACCATTTGTTTTTCTGTTCTTCATTTTGTTCCTGCTGACATTGCTTCTTCCTTTACTCCTTTTGTAGCAATCATCAGATTTTGGTTTGTTTACTCTGGATGATGTCGACTATGCATTTCAAAATGTCACCCGGTTAACGTACTCTCAGAACTATCATTTGTCAGGTAGACATTCTATTTTCTCTGCTAAAGTTTTCTTAAATACTGTTAATTCATCAACTTTTGTTAGGTGTATTTCTCCCGATATTTTCGTGCTAATCTTATTGTCTTTGCAACCTTAGGGTAGTTCATAAATGTCTGCCAGGCCCTACAAATGTGAGAAAATAATTTCAATGAAAGTTTTCTTAACTAGCCAACATAGCATACAAACCTATGGTCAGAAGCTTCAACCACAGATCTAAAACCCAATCCATACCAAAGAAGACAGAAACCAAGTAACAAACTTCTCCGATTTGACATGAACAACGGGTAAGAGAATGGGGAGATTTAGGAGAAAATAGTAGGATTCATGGGCATATGAATGAGAAATAAAATAGACCATAACAAGATATAAAAAAGGGAGAGAGAAGGAGGGCAGTATCTTGTTTTTTATTTAGAAATCCAAGTGAAGAAAAAGTTGAACAAAGTATCGCGAAACCAAATCTCGATTGGGGTGTTTAATGACATGTGTCTTTTCGTTATTGCTTTCTGAAAGTCTCTAACTAATGCCAGGGAAAGGCGAAGGAATTGTCATTGCTCCACATGTGGCTGGTCATCTCCTAGGTGGTACTGTCTGGAAGATAACAAAAGATGGGGAAGATGTTATATATGCTGTGGACTTCAATCATCGCAAAGAAAGGTCACACATTATAATTTTTGCTTTATAGTTAGAGTACTTCATTAGTTTTAAGAAATGATGAAGCTAACTTTCTCCTGCCTCTATCAGACATTTAAATGGAACCATTCTAGAATCTTTTGTTCGGCCTGCTGTCCTAATCACTGATGCGTATAATGCTTTGAGCAATCAGCCCTCAAGACGTCAGAGGGATCAAGAGTTTCTTGGTATAAGTTTTCCTTTTTATTAATTTTCACATTACACATTAATTTGAGCAGTTGCACTTTCATAGACTTTGCATCTTTAAACAAAATTGAACCTATTTTTGCCAGCTTAAATTTCAAATCGATCACCAGCCTTATAAAAAAGTCTAGTAGTTCATGCTTTAGATTTTCTTGACATGCATGTAGGTTGTTTTTGCCATTACTTTTGCTAACCTATGCCTTTATTTCAGACATCATTGATAAAACTCTAAATGCTGGTGGAAAAGTATTGCTACCGGTAGATACTGCTGGTAGAGTATTGGAGCTTCTTTTGTTGCTAGAACAGGTTAGTTGGTAATGGGTATGTAAGTGTAGTCATTTCACCATGTCACATTGTCACCAACTAATTGCAATTATTGTTTTTGTTTTTTTCTGTAAAATTCCAGCACTGGAATCACAAGGGCTTGAGCTATTCTGTGTTTTTTCTCACATATGTTGCATCAAGTACAATTGACTTTGTTAAGAGCTTCCTTGAGTGGATGAGTGATTCAATAGCCAAGTCTTTTGAGGACACACGAGATAATGCTTTTCTTTTGAAGTAAGATAAGATCATTTTCTTCTGCACAGTTCCCATTTATTTAGGGATAAGTTACAAATATACCTTGCAACTATACGTCAGGAAACACATATACCCTTAAGCTATATATTGGCTATAAACTCTGTCGCAACTAACTGTTAGTCTAAAATATACCACTCCATTAACTCTGACAACCAAAACTGATGTTTACCATCCCTCCAAGACTCCAAGTCTCCGTTATACCCATATAAAGCATATTTCATAATAAATTTAAAGAAATGAAATAACGGAAAAGGAAATAAAGTAGCACTCATGGGAGAAAAAGGTACTCCCTCCGTCCCTGAAAATACTTCCAACTTTCCCTTTTCGTCCGTCCCAAAAAGAATTTCACTTTCCCCCTTTGGCAAAGAATTTGTGGTTCACAGCATTTCTCTCTTCTCTGCACAACTCTCCACCACACAATTCCCACTTTCTTAATCCGCGTGCCACTTTATTATGGAAGTAAATTCAGGGACGGAGGTAGTATCAAAGATACAAAATCCCGAGCTTTTTGGTTTTGGTTCTGTGCACACTGGCACAACCATGGGGGTCATAGAGCAGCTATGTCAAGGCAACTTCTTCAATGATGATGGGGCTTCTCAGCAAGGTGCAGATTCTTTAACGACCTCTTAGCCTCTGTAGCCAGTTAGCCACAATGGTGGGTCTTCTCTATCAGCCATGTGTTCATATCTAGAGGTGGCATGATGCCCACTCTCTCTTCCAAACCGCGGGATTCCTCCACAGGGTTTGATAGTCAGACATGATCAATTTTTCCTCCTTACCAGGTCGATATAGGGCAGATCGTTGCGGTTGATATTGACACTCAACAATGCCAACAAGGCTCTGGTTTCCCCAAGAATTACTTTGGTGATCTTATTGCAACTGAAATGGAGTAGAAATATTACTAACCAAAGTTGCCGGTATTGAAATTCCAAGAAAAAATTGGACCTTCATCTGACATATTGATCTGAGTGCTGGGATAAGAAATCACGTGGGTTAAGAAAATATTAGTGAAGAAAGAAGGATAATGAAGAGTGATTGATGTTCAGTTTAACAGAGGGTTAAAAGAGCGGTAAAGCTAACTTTGACAAATGTTTGAGTAAAAAAAATGAAGGAGATCCTTGGGGCACTGGTTGAGGTGTTGATGTGTGACCAAGAGGTTACGGGTTCAAGTCTTGGGAGCGGCCTCTTGTCAAAAATTTGACAAGGGAAAGCTTGCCCCTTACACAATGGTGGGACCTTTCCCTGGACCCTCGCCTTGTGGGATGTCTACATGCACTGGGCTGCCCTTTCTTTCTTTCTTTCTTTCTTTCTTTTATTGAGTAAAAAAAGTAAATTTAGGGGTATATGTGTCGTTGACATATAGTTAAGGAGCTTATTTGCTCCTTATCATGCCCCGTCTCTCATTTTTATCTTCCTATTTTCCTTCATGGGCTGCCGTCCTTGAATAATCGTACCATTTCTTTTAAGGAATGGATTGTGTGGTTTATATTGTTTTTTTCCTATCTAAGTAAATCTCTACTACACCATTTCATTTCTTAAACTCCGTGCATAGTCAAGTTCGGGAGATAAAAAAGAGAAAGGGATTGAGATATTAACATTTATAAAAAGATAGGTTTAATGGGATGCTGCATGCATACCAGTATACCTTCTGGATAAAATGATTATGCTTTGAACCCTTAAAATTGGAGGTTCAATTGTTCTTTTTAGTGAACTTAACACTATTCACATACTCTACTTTGACTACATTTTATTTATTATTGTATCGTAAATTAAATTTTTGAAATATATTGTAAATTTCCTCTCATTTTAAAATTTCAAAATCTGATATTTTTTAATTTCTTTGCTAACAAGGAATGAAATATATGAATGGTCAAACTTTTGTGTTGGCAAATGTGAAAATTGGACCGTTGCAACTAAAAAAGAACGAGGGAAGTATCAATTAGTAGACCAATATTTAGACCACCTTCTTACAAATCGAGACTCATATGTCATCATAAGTATTGTTTTTCAAGACCTACTACCTACGTTTTCCATTTTTTTTACATTTTTTGATTTGTTTGTGCTAGCATGCAATTGCAGTGCTCTACTCAGTTTCTGTTAGTTGAAGACATTCGGTCTTTATAGATTTCAATTATTAACACGACATTTATTTCATAAACTGACAGGCATATCACACTTTTGATAAACAGTAGTGAGCTTGAGAAGTTGCCAGATGGCCCTAAGGTTTGGTGCCTCTTTAATTAAAGGGCTGCTAGCTTGATGACGGCTTATTAGTTTTTATAGTTTTGGAATCTGTCCTTTTAGGTTGTTCTGGCATCCATGGCTAGCCTAGAAGCTGGATTTTCTCATGACATATTTGTTGAATGGGCCACTGATACAAGGAATCTTGTTTTATTCACTGAAAGAGGACAGGTTTGTTTTCACTTATCTATGTGACTGTGTCTGCGCCTGCATCGTGTCTGGGTCTGAGTGAGTGAGTCTGAGTCTGGGTCTGGGTTCGGGGCGCAAGCATCATGGAAGCGGGGCAAGAAATCCCCGAATCCCTGATTCATGTGGGCGCAAACATGGGCTTATGCTTTTATGTGTTGGAGAGAGGTGAAAGCTTAGTAGCACTTTTTTAATTAACTCTATCTATGTAGCCAAATTAAAACTCAACGTACTAAGCCTAATTAGATTATTGCTTTCTTCAACTTCGACTATCTCTTCTTTGTTTGGTTCTGTCTCTGTTGTGTGTGTGCTCTGCGGTTTGGCAGCAACACTCCAACTACCTGATTTTCTATTCACACATTTGAGTTCATTAGTGTTTTGCCACTGAGCCCCACACATGTTACATATTTATTTATTTATTTATTTATTATTCTCCTGTTACTGCCTGGGCAGCATCGCTGCTCCAACTCCCGATATTTGTTGTTTGTTTGTAATATGTTTTATTTCTCTATATCTGTATATGATTAGTTGTTAGTAATACTAATTTTAATAATACCAGCAACAACAAAAATAAGAATAATATACAACAAAAACAATAGTAAGAATTAGAATATTACTCCGTATTTATTAATAACAACCATTACAATTATACCATTTTAAAAATACAGGGTAACTATAAAACCACACCAACAACCATAGCAATAAAGATATAATGATCATCTAAGGCAAAATAACTTATTGCAACTATTACACAAATAAAAAAATATGTAGTATGTTTTATCAAGATGCACGTTATTTGCAATTATGGTCTTCTAAACATCTCACCTCAGACAAAATTGTTTGTTGCAACTTCTTTTTTTAATATGTGGATTTACTCCCATGTCATGATACACATATTATCTGTTATATTTGGTCATCAAGATAACTCGCCTACTACAAAATATTTGTTTAATTATCGTCACTGTATAATCAGAATTTTTGTGTGCAATGCAAACATATACTTTGTTGCCTTTTAAACTTTTTATTTGTTGTATAATCTAATGATACTTTCTTTCGTCTGGTTTCTTGAATTCTCATATAGTTTGGAACACTTGCACGCATGCTTCAATCTGATCCGCCTCCTAAAGCCGTTAAAGTTATCATGTCCAAGAGAATACCTTTGGTTGGAGAGGAGCTAGCTGCTTATGAGGCAGAACAAACTAGGATAAAGGAGGAAGCTCTAAAAGCTAGTATGATTAAGGATGAAAAATCAAAAGCATCTCTTGGGGCTGACCTTACCACGAGTGACCCCATGGTCATTGACTCATCTATTGTCACACATATGCCTTCAAACAGTAATGCTCACAAATGTTAGACAGAAATATTCGTCATCTACTGTAGCTTTAATAATGTTGATGATCGTTTTGCAGCTACCAGTAGACATGTTGGTGCATTTAAGGATGTATTTATTGATGGGTTTGCCCCCCCTTCTTCTAGTGTCGCACCAATATTCCCCTGCTATGATAACTCAGCAGATTGGGATGATTTTGGTGAAGTCATCAATCCTGATGATTATGTGAGCAAGGATGAACATATGGAGCCATCATTGGTAAACATAATTTCTTCTTTTAATTGTGCTTCTAGTTCCTATTGATCAAGAAGGGAATAAAAGAATAAGTTCAGAGAAACGGGAAACACTATTTTTAGAAAATGTAGGAGACCTCACACTCTCATTTTAACTGCAACACTCTAATTTTCACGTTTGCTAATGCACAACTTTGATCATTGATATATTTATTTCTCTATCAGTAAATTTTTTTAAAAAAATCAGATTTTGGAAATTTATAATGAGACAAGTTTAACATTATTTTTAAAAAAATAAATTTCTCATACATTAATAAATAAAATGTAGTCAAAGTAGAGCATGTGATGAATACTGGAAAATTCAACGCGTTCCAATTAATTTAGAACAGAGGTAGTATAACAATTATAGTACTACGTAATACTTTATACATTTAAGTAAACAAAAAAGTACTCTGTATCTATTAATTCCCCATTTTAAGTTAATAATGTAAGGCAAATGCTATTTCCCTTATGACTATGTTTAAGCATGAATGGTAATGTAATTTTCAAGTCACCTTCACTTTTAAGATTATTAATGGGATCCTTTGATGAGTTATTTTGTATTCTTTAATGATTTTATTAATTTATTAAGGAATAGTTAATGAAAATATTCCCAACTTTGAGTTCACTCAAAATAATCCTAACCATAATTTCTATCAAAATAATCTCAATTGATGGTTCATGCTTCCCAAACTACTCCTGATTTATTCTAACTGTAATAAACGGTCATATCTCTGCATGCATTTACACATTCAGCCATTCAGGCCTTCAGCAAAAGTATAAAAATATACTCTGTTTTAAACCATATATTTATTTTTATTAGACACTTCTATAAGGTGTAAATCTCAAAAGTTATAAACCTTAAAAAGTTTATATGTTTATGTAAACCGCATACGAAACACTGACATAAATCAGGAAAGGTTTGGACCCATTCGTTGTTGTTTTTAACTTTCTGTTTCTGTTTATCTATCAATAACAAATTGATAATGAAAACAAACAAAACTTGATTTCAATTATTGTTGGTAGTTTTCAATATTAACATGATTAGTACAAGTATGACATCTTGTTGTTTGGAGAGAAAGGAAGAGTTTAATAAAATTTACAACTTAAAAATAGGTAATAAGTGGACAGGGAGTATTTGGGAAGCTTGACACAATTATTTTGATTAGTTTGAAATAAATAACCCACAGTTGGGATTATTCCTACGCAACTATTATGTGATGCTAATTAACTGTAGTGCCCAATGCATCACTATTTCTCTCCATACTCTATCTATTTTTCATACACTTTAATACCCACCACCACTCTCTGGGCTTATTTGATCAATAAAACAACATAGTTTAAGCCATATCCCCTCTGAGTGCCACAATGTTCTCCCCTTTCCTATTCTGTGATGTCTCGAAAGGTTCTTCCAATTCCCTTTGAGCAGTTGAGTGGTTCATAGTAATTCATTCATTTTGAATTAAATCTCACAAGCCACAACTTTACTGCCTAAAAACCAGCCAAAAAGTAATGGGAAAGAACATTGTTCTAAAACTCGCTAGGCGCTAGTCGGGCAATTGAGGGGCCTAGCACCTAGGCAGCCAGCTAGGCTGATTTTTGGCTGACTAGACCGACTAGGCCAATTAATCGGTCCGACTAGGCCGATATTAGAACAGTGGGAAAGAAAATTTTGGGCAGAGGGTGTATAGTTTCGAACTGCAAAAGGTTATCTACCTTGAACACTTGGAATTTTACTCTTACATATGTTTATCATTTGGAAAAGGTCGGTTGTGATTAGATAAACTGAAGAAAAGTAGTCAATTACACATGATACTTTATTATTAGAAGTTATATCGATTACCTGTTTAAACTATTCATTGAAGTTACGTGGATTACCTTTTTTAGATTATTCAATCTGATAAGAATTTTTTTCTTAGGTTGATGGCAATCTTCTAGGAAAATTGGATGAAGGATCTGCTAGCCTTATATTTGATACTACTCCATCAAAAGTTGAATCATCTGAGCTAACAGTAAGTGTTTGGTTCATTTCAATGTATTTAGAAAAATTTATGTTAGTTTTAAATTGTTTTCAAACATTTTCCCATACAGCATGATTGGTGTTCTCTTTCATCTTGAATCTAGAGCACAGATGGATTACTTTTGTATTTTCAATTAAGCACCAGTTTGTTTTTAATTTCTGGCTGTTATCCAGTTCAAACCTTTAATTTGGTAAATATTGACAAATTCAATTGCTTTGTCTGATTTGACATGTTGTTTTATGTACTTTCATCTTATATAGGTCCCAGTGAAATGTTCCTTGGTTTACATGGATTTTGAAGGCAGATCCGATGGTCGCTCAATTAAATCAATTCTTGCCCATGTCGCTCCATTAAAGCTTGTGCGTACACACTAATTTCTACTGGTCCATCATTTGTACTTTCCTTTGTTTTGATCTGCTTTTATTTAATTTATATATTTATATATTTAATGAAAGAATTGATATAAGTTGATGATACCTTAAGCGGCAACTTGTGGTAACTCAAACCATTAATTAAACTCAACTCATTCAAGATTCCCATGACTTCCCAAATCACAGGTTTCCTCTGAAATTCCATGCTAGTTTACGTAGCAATCCAAAGGTTATATTTCTTAATCGTCAAGACAATTATTGTTTATCTTTATAGTAAAGTAAATTACACAAGTGTTAAAAACTACTACCTCCGTCCCATTTATATTGTCTCTTTACGGTTTACGATGTTTGACCGACGATAAAGCAAATAGATCCCTGTCCGCACTCAAATTATTTTTAGGAAAAAAATTACATATTCAGAAACTACATTTAAAGCTTTACAAAGTCGCAAAAACCTGAATCAAATTTGATAAATTTTTTATATATAAAGTAAGAAATTAAGAGTGATTTGTGTTGACCAAGTAAATAGGAACTGGGACAATATAAATGGGACGGAGGGAGTATATAGTTTTCTAAGCAGAAACTTCTCAAGGTTTAACTCAAATTTGAATATTCGTCTTTCATAGCATTACAGATCTACATGTCCTACAAATTGAAATACATGCTTATTTATAGACTAAGACCCTGTAAAGTTACATACTAAATTCTCCTCTGTCCTGTAACTAAGTCCCTAGTTTGGATTCACGATTTTTAGTCAAAATAAATTTTTATTGACTTTCCGTGTTTGCCCTCCACAAAAGCATGTAAGAGAAATTTAATAATTAATTATGTACTTTTCATAGGGGTAAAGGGTATTTTACCACTCAAATATTAAAAAAGAGAAGTGAACTAAATTTGGGACATCCCAAAAAAGCAAAGGAAGAGCTTAATCGCGAGACGAAGGGAGTACAATACATAAATCACAATATTCTAAATAATCTAATCAAATCTTAATAAAATAAAAATAAACTAATCTATCACATATATGATCTTCCAAGATATGTGTATTCCAACCTCCAAAAGTTGACATATCAAAACCTGAAAGGCTGAAATTAATCTAAGTCGTCAAGATAATGATAACATAATTAAGTCTTAGTAAAGTAAATCATGGAAAATTGAAAATTTATTTGGATTCCCCACCAACCATGGTCTTGGAAATCCACAAAATATCCGAAAATAATACTCCCTCCATCCCAAATTGTTTTGTGACAAATGGCTTATGATGTTCTGTTCGTCTTTCTAAGCAGTGTTGCTCCTGCTGCGGGTTTATGAATATCAGTTGCAGGTCATTTGATTTGAGCCGGGCTTTTTGTCCTAGTCTTAATTTTGAAGTCCCGTCTTATTGTATTACAAGTTCTCGAAAATCCATAATATTACAAATAATTACACCTCAATCCTTGCACCTTTTAATTTGAAGAATCTATTATAGGTTGTGGATTTGTGATAACTTATGATATGCATCATAAGTCTTGATAACCTATGACATCTCATTAAACCTTAAGTGAGTTGTGATACGATATGGTATCTCATTAAGCCTTTAATTTTCTCCAATGCGATACCCTGTATTATTTATAGGCATGTAGTGGGTATATTGTCAGATTTTCGTATTGTAGCTCATTTTTTGTGATTTCCATACTATTGCCTACTGGGATAGTGTGTTCTGTGGAGGCCACACCTTAAACGACTTGAGTTAAGGGTAAACTAGACCTCATCTAACAGAATAACTTCATATTAGCTTGATCTCAAACTACATCCTATTTTTCTATGTGGATACAGTAAGTTTCAACCTAGTGTACCCTAATTGTGCACTTAAAAATCAATTATCATTTTTCTAGGTTTTGGTACATGGTACAGCCGAAGCAACAGAGCATCTGAAACAACATTGTCTCAAGCATGTGTGCACACATGTCTATGCCCCCCAAATTGAAGAAACAATTGATGTCACCTCAGATTTGTGCGCATATAAGGTTGTATTTTTGCATTTAATCCTGGACAATCACTTCAAAGTGGGTAATACTGATTCAAGTTTTGCCTTTTGTTTTCTGCTCTTTTCTGTGATAGGTCCAACTTTCAGAGAAGTTAATGAGCAATGTGCTTTTTAAGAAGGTAAGCAATCTGTCATAGTTGCTTTAAATCTTTGTCCTGAATTTTCGGCTCCATCATATGTCAAAACCTGGGCAGCAATATTTCAAAATGGATTTGGTTGATATCTAATATCAGATTGACCCATTAGAATACCCAAGCCATACTGGCAGTCCTAAATCCTTCTCTATCAGGCCCTATTTCCACCTATCTTTGATCTGGTAGTGTTTGTAATTGTAGCTTGGAGACTACGAAATAGCATGGGTTGATGCTGAAGTGGGGAAGACGGAGACTGGTGTGTTGTCTTTACTCCCCCTTTCGCATCCTGCTCCACCACATAAAACAGTACTTGTTGGAGACCTGAAATTGTCGGATTTCAAGCAGTTTCTTGCGAGCAAGGGTATGCAGGTATGGACTATGGATAAATGCCTTAGTTTTAAGTTTTAACCTTTGGGCTTATTATTATTATTATTACAGCTATTGTTATTAATTTGTTAAAACTATTATTTATCATCATCATCATCATCATCCTCATGCCCATAATGTTGAAATTTTGTTTCCAGGTAGAATTTGCAGGTGGAGCCTTGAGGTGTGGGGAGTATGTGACCCTGCGAAAAATAGGAGATGCAAGCCAAAGGGTGATGCTTCTCTATTATGACTAGAAACTTTATTGTAGTGATTAGTAATGAAAATGGATGTACTTTGATCACTTCCATGTTGTCTGCTGTGAACTCGAAATGAAATTTGAATTGATTCTGACATTGGGACACAATGGTTACAGGGTGCTGCTGCTTCTACACAACAGATCGTTCTTGAGGGCCCACTCTCTGAAGAATATTATACAATTAGGGAGTGTTTATATTCACAATTTTATTCCCTTTAATCCGAGGAATTAGCTCCTGATTCTGCTCGCTGTCAAGTGTACCGCTTCTAAGCATTGTTGTATTCATTTTTTTTTTATGACAATCCGATGGAGTGGAGGAGGGGTGGATAGTTACCCCTGCCCTTGTTATAAATATCCCACTCGAAAATGCGGGGGAAACATATCATCTTATGTAGTGCAGAATGTTGGGTCCCAATTATCAGTGTTTAGTGCTGACTTGATATAGTCTGATATCAGTAATTTTTTAGTCCTCTCAGTGAAGGTATGAGTTCACTAATTGCCCCACAAAATGCTTGCCAGAGATTGTGTAGAGTATTTTCTAAAGGACATGCTATTTGATGTTATTAGAATGTCCCTTGCTAAGAGCTTGATTTTTTTTATTTGATTCCACCGTAGGTTTTGGAAAGCGTTGAACACAGCCTGCTTCTGGATTTGAAATCGTTGGGTCTCGGTGGAAAAGTTAAGGCGTCTCTTATCTTATTGTTAGGGTGGCAAAGGAACCAATTGTTTTTTTTTCCTGGATTCTGAATGTTTAATGAGTTGAACATGTTTAGATATCCAGATTCTCTCAAGAGTGACTGTATTAGTTACATACAAAATGAAGCTTTTGATGTCATGAAATTGTTCATCTATAGTTTTAAATTATGGTGGAACTGTGGAAGTGCTTAATGTCAGAAGCATAAGTTACAAAGTAAGACAAAAGAAGTAACTTTTGTAGTGAGAAAAAGAATTAATTCACCTCTTTCCCTATGAATATTATACAATTACGACACTAGGTTCATGTATTCAACTTCGTTACTTTTGATACTTGCTCACATAAATTTCCAGTGCTTAATATTTCCTAAAAGATGTCAGGAATTTGGCGAGAATGATCTTTGATGGCAAGGAGCAATAGTTAAGTACGAATGTAAGATTGGTATTTGGTACAATAGTCATAAGATCAAATGTTACTGAACATAGAAAATAATTATGGTTAGAATTGAGAATGGTTAGGTAAAGTTTATTTAGGGGAGCTAGCTAGGTAAATGAAATGACTATGAATTGAATGAGAGTATGAGACCTCATCATTATGACATGGTGCATGGGGGTGTGATGGAGGGAGCTTTGACGAGAGACTCGATCATGAATTGCTTCACAAGTCCTTGTGGCGGTGCAACAGAAAGAATGTGTTCTGAAGTGATGAGTTGATACCCTTCATCATCATCATCGCCCGCCGCAGCAGGAGGAAGACTTGGCTTGTACTTCATCAACTTCCCGTATTCGCTCAGAAGGTGAAACATGTAGTCGTAAACGTAATCCATCTTCAACTCTTCCTCTATGAATTTGCTTCCCGCTCTCCCAATCTCTTGGGCCTGCTCAGGGTGGGTATTTCCCCAATAAACGGCATCCTTTATCGATCTGCATTTCTCTCCGTCATCCCTTATCGGCCAATAGTGTTTCATCGCCACTAACCCTCTGCTGAAGAAATCCATGTAGGTTGGCTTCACCATCAAAGTTGGAGAGTTGCATGCCAATATGTACTTCTCACTCACTGACCACGTCCTTCCTTCGATGTATATCTTGTACCTAACATAGTCGAGGAAATATATTGGAGATTTGGAGTGAGTTAGCACAACTAGATTTTTCAAATAGATTTCCACACAATCTTTTATCTACACATTTGTTGTAACTAGGCCAAAAGTCCAAAACCATACGAAATATATATTACTATTTATACTCCATACATATTTATACATACGAAATATATATTACTAGTAAAATTTTCGAGTAACTATGTCTAGTTAAAAAAAATTGAGAGGCGGTGGCCACCACTTCCACCCTTTGTGTATGCCAATGTGCCCTCTTCACCAACTCTTCATAGTGACACAATTATACTTCGTGGTCCCAAAATAATGTACTACGTACATTATTACTTTTTTCTAAGTTAAGGAAGTTTTCGTTTTATTATCTGATTTGAGTATATCATTTTTTTGCGACTCATAAAATAGTGTAGTGATAAAAAATAAATAAGTAATTAAAATTTTCAATTAATGATTTAAATATTAATACGGAAGATTTAAATTGAAATTATTGTGAGTCAAATTTAAACAAGCAAATTTGAACATCTTTTAGGAACCGAAGAAGTAGATACTCCCAATGTATAAGCTAAGTCTGCTGCAAAATATATATTTATACTCCCTCCCAAACAAAATATAAGGCTTCAATATGATAAATATATACCAACTTAGCTAAACAATCAAATACTTGTTGGGAACATACTGACTATAATGTACGTACTCCCTCAGTCCCATTTTATAAGATACCTTTTATATTCACTTGGTCAACACAAATCATTCTTAATCTCTTGCCTTATATATCAAAGTTTTATGAAATTTGAATTATTAGTTGCAAACATTGTAGCGGTTTTAATGTAGTTTCTGAATATGTAAATTTTATTTTCTAAAACTAATTTCAGTGTTGACAGGGATCAATTCGCTTTATCATCGGTCAAACATCGTAAACCGCCTTATAATTTGGGACCGAGGGAGTAGTATTCAATTCTACCTACCGGTGAGTGCACTGACTAGCTAAGTTGGAGCTACTGAATCCTTGGTGTTCCTCCCTGGTCCAGTTCTGTAATAATGAAAGAGAGAAAGTTCCATTAAAAGATAACACATTTTCTTAATTATAGAACCATTTTTTTAATCCTTCAAAAAAAAATTACCATTTCTTAAATAGGACTTATTTACTCCTTAAGAGAAAATATATTAACTTTCTTATTCTTTAATTATAATTAGATTAAACTAGTATATTTTGTAACATAACAACGAACAGGCTCCAATTTGTGTTCATCGTTTATATTTCATTACTCTTACTTGTAGGAAATTCATCAAAAGATATGAATGGAATAATAAATTGACATGTATCCACACCCTCTAATTTACTAATTACAGCGACCAATTCAATTAACTTATGTACAAATAAATATCGTTACCTTACATGTACAGATAAGTAATTAATGATCAAATATGGAAAATCGTATGTAACCGAACAATAATTGAGATGGATATGAGCATATGAGAGTAATTAACTAACCTCTTATTTAATTTTTAGATATAAAAAATTATAATTTCTGTTACATTTTTCATTAGATATGGGAATATGGTGTTGAGGTCGATATATGTTTTAATTTTGTACCTGAGAAAATAGGCGAGCACCCCAGTCATGAGATGGTGATGAGGCATTGCATTTAACCACCAAATCCTTCCTACGGTTAGAAACTGAAGGATTTCCCTTCCAGTATGCATACGGTTCCCTCTCCACCCATTTCCTCCTCTTATTCCCTTCTTGCAATTCCTTTGACATTCCTTCCCATGGCCTAATATTTAATTCTGGCCTGTCAAGTAAATTATTATGGAATATTACTAAAATAAAACTTATTTACATAAATATGATTATTCATTACTACAACGTACGTAGTATTGTGGTAACTTAAGTTCAAAACTTGAACATAAATTACCATGATTTCATTACTACTCTAGTAACTAGTCATATTTTTGCAAATCATCTTTATTTTGGTCATATTTATTTATGTAATTATTTCAATTATATTAATCATTATTACTCACTATTATTAAGATACTGTAAAAGGCATTACATTTAAACACCAAATCCTTCCAATTATTATACATATAATTGTAAAGTGGAAACAAAAAAGAACATTTATAAATAACTTTCAATAAAAATATACTAGTATAGTTATTCAAAGTTTTAAAGATTTTGAGAGGGAGGTACACTAATACAAAAAGTGACAATTGTAGCATTCATTTTGTAGCACCGTAGAAATTGCTACAATATACGAAGTGATATCTATTGTAACATTATTGTACCTAAAGATGCTACAATAAAATGATAAATTGCTACAATTTCTCTATTACATATAATACCAATCGGGTGCAACATACTAAAAAATGCGGCATTGATATATTGTGACATTTTTAGCACTTGTTGCAACATATTGCATATGCTACGAAAGTTATATATACTTGTTGTAGTGGATGAATGTAGTATGTACTCCCCCTATCGGTATCAATTTTTTTTGGATTAAACAATTTTATTTTATTTACTTAATTAGGATTTCAATTTTAATTAAATAAATTCTATTTTGGATTTTGCAAATAAATAGATATTTTATTTAATTTAATTAAATAAATAAATGTAAAATTTGATTATTAGAATTGAATTAATTATCGATAGAGAGCATTTAACTTAAGCTTGAGAACCGAAAAAAGTGCATGCATGTAGCCTATGTATGTAGGTACTATACCATCCCCAAAAGGACCAATCTGGGAAAGGAATATCCAAAGTTGAATCACTGGTGCAGTAGCCAAACAATGGCGGCGGCCGGAGTTCGACGACCGCGGTGCCATTCGGACCACCGATGGGCACGGCAGGTTCGTCTTCGCAGTTAAACAAAAGCTCCAAATCGGGTATTTGATACCTCCGCAACAGCTGCAAAATACCCCAGACGGTGAATACGTCTCTGCTTTGAAACGACTTCCGGTAGCCCCGGATATACGCACTTCCGTTCACTATGGCCAGCCGGAAAGTTGCCGCCGGTACGCCCCTCCTCACAATTTCTCTGGTGATTCCTGTCTCCCTCCATGGCCCTAGATCTTTGTGGATCCAACGGAAGTAATCGGGACACGTGGCTGATGATGATGATGTCCTTGATAATGAAAATGAAGAACTACTACTGCTACTGCTACTGCAACTATGGGCCTTATGATAATAAGGATAAAAAGGGGAGGAGAAGTAGTGGAAAAAGGCCAAATAAATGCTAAAGAAGGAATTAAGAATGCATGTGGAGAGAACCCCAATGAAGAAGATGAAGATCACCAGGGGCGCTCCTCTCATCCTTTTTTCTTTTTAAATCCCTATACTATACCATATCATGTATTTTCTCGTTTTCGATCCATCAGTTATACTACGGCGTATAATAAAGCAAATTCTCTAAATGGAGTATTTGCTATCAGTTATACTAAAGGAATCGATATAGATCCCGGATGATCGATGACATTTACGGTGATTCCTTTTCTACTTTATTGTGGCGGTAAGCTAGATTAGGTGATAGAACTGAATGAAAATTGAAAGTAAAGATGCCGGACTAAGCTTATACTCCGGATCCCTCCGTTCATGTTTCTTTGTCACACTTTCTTTTTTGGAAGTGTCAAAATGGATGCCACACTTCTCATTTGGTAAACAAAACAGTGCCAAACAATGTCGAAACAATGTCCAAACAGTGTCAAACAGTGTCCAAACAATGTCCAAAAAGTGTAATTTACCCCTTAGTAAATAAATTCCTTAAATGTTCACTTGTCAAACTATGTAAAAGAAACAGATACGGAGAGAGTATTTAATACACTAGTATACTAATAATGGTAACAGGAATAATAACGACAATATTGCTAATAAATATTCTGTATAATAGTATAAGAGCATAGTCAATGCAAGTATGCAACAATGTATACGGGTGTACATGTAGCATGAGAGAGATATACACATAAAAACAAATCATTGAAACTTCTCTCTTTCTTTTCACGGTTTTATAAAATCTTGGTAACAATGTCGACCATAATGTCTACATCTAGACATTCATCTTGACATTGAGGAGAAAAACTTACCAAATATATAAGACCGTTTAAATAAAGAGATATAGAAATTTTGCTTACTAATATTTGTGAGTCTATATCTTTCATGCCGGTCACATGTACTGATGTACACTGGGCATATAGATGCTTACTTAGCTTCGGTTTCCCAGCCTCGCTTCATCATTAATGAAATATAAGAACTAATGCTCTTATAATTTTACCAAAATAAAGACCTAAAATATCATATTTGATATATTTAATGTATATTGATTACATTGCTAATTTGTGGTGATTTTTTACAAAAGTTTATTAGTTTAATAAGAGTAAATAATAATTTAATTTTTTAAAATAAAAAAATACTCCCTCCGTTCTCTAATAGATGGGAGTATAGGCTTTGGCACAAGATTTAAGATGAAATTAATAGGGGTAGTATAAAAGGTGTAGTGGGTTGTGTGTAAAGGAAAAAGTAGGAAAGAGAATGAAAAAGTAGGAAAGAGAATGAGGGTAAATGGGTATATTTATTGAAAAAACTTACCAAAAGTGGAAAAGGGGACAACTAATAGAGAACATCCCAAAATGGAAAGAAGGCCAACTATTAGAGAACGGAGGGAGTATTAAAAAAAGAAATAATATAAAGGTGAAAATAAAAAAGATAAAATAAAAAAAGATAAAGAAGATAGTAGAAATAAAAGAAATTTGACTAAGGAAGTAAGAGATAAAAAATGATACTCGTAGAAAAGGATAAAAATTACTACGTATAAATGCTATGGTACTCTTTTTTACAGTAAATTTTATGGTACTTTAAAAACCATAAAATTTAAATTATGTCAACATTTAATTTCGCTCCTCTTCCAAGTCCTTGGCAGCAATAAAAGGAGCGCTCTTTTTATTGCTAAAAGGTTAACCTGATAGGAGTAGTTCAAAATCTTATATAGTGTTTAATTGTTTTATAGCTTTCCAGTGGAGGACAAATGCTAAACAAGTCGTCAAACCACAACCGGAATTGACTCTGATAACATGTTAAGGTCCGAGGTTCCATCCTAAAAGGTTAGTAGGAGTAGCCAAAAGCCTTACATAATGTTTAGTTGTTTTATAGTTTTCCGGTGCGTGACAAATGTTTAACGGTAACATTCCCTTTTTTATGCAACGGTTGGCACACTAACGGTCATTTTTCTCAGAAATTATTTAAACTAAACTCACCCATTCAGTCCCAGGCTACTAAACCAACTTCTCTCTGCTTTTTCTGACCCGCTAAAATTCTCGATGCTGAAAGGAAATGGAAGAAAATATAATGGTGGGGAGGTATCCAGATTGCAACTTCATCATTCAACAGCAATATCTTGATGCTAAAATCCCTATGGTACAAGTACAAGCCACCTGATAAATATATTACCTCTGTCCCAAATAGAAGTTCTCATTTTCCCGTTTATGAATATCCAAAAAAGAAGTTCGCATTCCTCCTTTTTATCCATTTTTTATACATGAAAAGTCAAAACAAAACTTCATTTCAGGATGGAGGGAGTAATAGATTTAACCATCACGATGTAGGGATTGGGTATTTACTACGCTATGGATTCAGTTCCCAATTTAATTTGTTTTGTGCATAACCTGCTGTCCTGCTTCATTACTTTATTCTGGAAGAAGTTTAGGATGCAGGCATGCAGCATTAATTTTTTTCCCATGAATTTATTCATTATAAGTTTCTTAGGATTAAGGTCTTTCTTACCAGTGCACTCTGTGGAATCTTACTAGAATCTTGCTTCTAATGTTCTCGAAATAACATTTGACAATTATGGGGATTACCAGCATATTAAAAAATCCAATATTTTTAGTTTAAATGAACACAACATGCATCTATCGAACTGCATCATAGTTCATAAAACGAAGCGTGCCTTTGATATGGTACTTATTTACTGAGGAAGTTTAAGAAATGCATGTTTAAGTTAAAGGGATATAAAATCATTTAACCTTATTGTAGAAATATTGCACCTTCTTTCTTGGAAGTTGCCTAGATGCATCTCACACCTTCTTGGAAGGAGGTCTCCAACATATGAACATGGGGAAGATATAGAGATAACTATGGAAGCTTGGATGCAACTTCTTGTCTCCAAACTAGCCTATAAATAGAGTGTTCTATTGTTGTTCATATCATCAGTTTAGAAAGTGAGAAAAGTGTGTGAAGAGTGAAATACACTTGTAATAGTGAAGATTGTTTTTTTGTAATAGTTGAGTGTGAGAGTTTGCTCCTCCTCTTGTAATTTTGTTCTTGATATTGAATAGAAGAATTTTCCAATCCCAACACTTATAATCCTGTTAAAGGGCCTCGGCATTTGGCCATAACTTTTTCAATAGCTACCTAAGTTTACTAGATCAGTGGTACAGAACACATGACAATGTCACTAATATGCATTCTTCTGAGATAAAGCTAAGGTTATCCATTCCATTTCACCATTGAGCACTTTTGAGAGCGAATTGTATCTAGCTGGTTGAACCCTTTCAATGGTTTTAGTAAAATATCCATGCAATCCCATTAACACAAGGCAAGTACCAAGAAGAACCCCCCTGAAATTATATTACTCCCTACCTTTCTATTTTCATTCTTATAATTCATCCCTATACTGATACATAAGTAGTAGCATTCTGATCTTAATCTGCCTGCAATTGAATTTTTGATTGAATCTAGCTTCTTATTCCAGTTATATACGGCACATCCTCTCTACACTTAATTAGTTTAGTCAACTAAATCATTTGGCTTCAGTTGTTTAGCGAAGATAAATTAGGTGTTGGGATTGGAAATTTTTTCTATACAATATCAGGAACAGAATTACAATAGGAATAACAAACCAAACTCTCATCGTTAACTATTACAAAAAATCAATCATCACCTATTGTAATTTGTGGAAGTGAGTGCAATCATGATGTACAATGATGATTTTTTCATAATAAAGTGTTGAATATATCGCGTCCCTTATTTTCAAAGTCGAATTTGGGCACACTGAGCTCACTATTGAGTCTGGAATGATAAAAAATGGTAGAAACCAGTCAGTTCTCATCCAAAACCTGTTTGGAAAGGGGTGAATTGGGCTCGCCAAGTAGGAACCCGTCTGGTCTGATCCAGGCACCGGCCCAGTGTGCAAACACGCACACTGCCACATGACAGCTGACATGGCTTCGGAGTGGATGACTTATTCGGATGACGTGGCAACTGACGTGACATGTTGCTAACGTAGTTACTACTCACTAGCGCGTGTGGCGGCATCTGGTGGCTGTTCGGTTGCCGGAAAATATTAGAATTTTCCTCGGGTCGAGTTGAACCCACTCGTATCACTAAGGGAATCTTGGTCTTTGCGGAACCGGAACTTTATTTGAAGGGGTGCCGAGAAACATAAGAAACCTCAAATTAGTAAGTTAAGATTATGTCACAAATATTTCTAAAAAATAAGTTATGGACAAAAAAGTGACTGTTTTAAAAATATTCTAAAAATGAGACTAAAAAGATGTTAAGAGACCAAAACCTCATTGAGTTAGTAAAACGAGTTATGGACAAATATTATCATACCCTTATTATATAATTTCATTGACTGCTACAATGATATTACAGAGGCCAAAATTTCATTAGTGACCAAAAATCCGCCAGGACCCGCCGTCCCCTAGTTACCCAACCTGCCAGTTACAATTCACCGATCCGTCAGTTACAATTACATGATCCAAACTAGTTATTGTTACACAACCCGATCAGTTAGAGTTACCCGACCTGTCAACTACCCGACCCGATCAGTTACACCCATCCGATCCGATCAATTACAGTTAGACGATCTAATAGGAACGGACAGAGAAGTTCTCAAATACAACCTCCGTCCCGAAATGAAGTTCTCGTTCAGTATTCATTGGTCAACTTGAATCACCCCTAATCTTTTACTTTATATATCAAATTTTTATCAAATTTAAATTTTTCTTGATTAGGCTTTGTAGCGGTTTTAATGTAGTTTCTTAATATGTAAATTTTATTTTCTAAAAATATTCTGAGTGTGAACAGGGATCGAGTTGATTTATCGTCAATCAAGCATCGTAAACCGAACAAGAACTTCTTTACGGGAGGCCTTCTTTACGCGAGGGAGGGAGTAATAAAGATCAAAAGTCCGAAAGCACCACTTTTACAAAGGGAGAAGAAACCATTTGGCAAATCATTCATTTTATAACACTGACAACTCATCAGAAAAAAGGTATTCTATTAAAGAGTGCCTATCTAACGGTCTTGTTAGCAATAAAACACAAGAAAAAAGACATCACACTTTCACGTAATGGCCATGCTGCGGCCAACTTGATTTTCCACTTCAATATTCCGCCACTAAACCGTCCTGTTTCTTGGCCGGTTTCCAGCACTAAACTTGTTACACTCCTCATCCTTATATAAAAGACCTCAATCGTTTTACACACTGTTAAGCACTGTTTGACATTATTAAAAAAAGGAAAGAGAACTTTTATTTAGGGACAGTAAGAAAAGGAA